TTTATGAATTTTATAAAACTAAAAAACAATGTCAAATAAGAGTATTTTTCATGAATTTCATAGAACAAAACAGAAAAATGTCTAGTAAGAGTATTTTTTATGAATTCCGTATTCGGGATATAACATAACCTGTATTTAAGCTTTGGCAGACACTGAAATAAAGTGGGTAAATGCAGTTGTTAATATGCATAGTCATTCAAAAGCACAGTTAATTCATGCACTCATGCAGATACGGAAGCAGAAGAGGATGCATTTTTTTTTTTTTTTTTTTTTTTTAGAAATCAATTAAATTAAATTCACACTTGAATGGACTTACAGAGTTGCTTGAGTTCGATCCAAGTCACAAACTTCCATTTATTTATCTTTATTATTTTGTTTATGCTTTCTCTCTCTTTCTTATTTGTTCTATCTAACCGGTTTATCCCACTCACACTTTTATTAGTCAGTTTCTTTGCACTCATTTCTATTCCAATTTTTGAGAATTTAATCTTCTCTCATAATATTTTTTCTTTAAATTTCTCTCTTAATTCATATCTTAAATTGCACCTAAAACTCACACCTGGTTCTCTTAACTCACTCATAATTTCCTCTCATGCCTCATACCTTACCTCATACCTCACACTTGCCACGCACAAACGCAGAACACCTCTCGAAAGCACACCTCATAACTCATACCTTCTTCACTCACCACAAATCCACTCCGTCTCATATTCATATATTTATTACGCATACCATAGTTTATTTCTACTCCTTTCCTCATAACTTTTATTTATCTCATTTATTACAAATCGGCTCTCTAAAGTTATGATATACCCTCAACTCATACCTCATATATTCCTCATGCCCTACATCTTTCCTCATACCTCATACCCTACCTTCCTCAGCTCGCTTCCCAAACCACATATACTCTCTCTTCATACCTCATCCATCTCTCCTCACTATTGATACCTTCCTCATATCACATCCCTTCCCTCACACCTCATAGCATCCCCTCATACCCTAACTTTCTTAGTTCGCTTCCGAAACCACATATACTCTCACTTCACATCTCATCCATCTCTCCTCACTATTGATACCTTCCTCATATCACATCCCTTCCCTCACACCTCATAGCATCCCCTCATACCCTAACTTTCTTAGTTCGCTTTCCAAACCACATAGACTCTCTCTTCGTATCACATCCATCTCTCCTCACTAATGATACCTTCCTCATAACACATCTCTTCCCTCACACCTCATAGCATCCCCCATACCTCATGCTTCTCCTCCCTGGTGTTAAACTCATAGGAGACCGTGTTAACCATATCACCCAGGGTCGTGAAAGTGCCGGTGCTGTTGTGAGGAAAAAAGTGAGGCAAATGAAGTCGTGAGTCCGTTAAAAGCATGAGTGAGGAGAGGGGGAGGGGGAGGGGAGGGGGGCAGGGGGAGGGGAGGGGGGCAGGGGGAGGGGAGAGGGAGAGGAAGGGGGGAAGGAGGGGGGGAAAGGGGAGGGAAGGGGGGAGGGGAGGGAGGGGAGGGGGAGGGGGAGGGGAGGAAAGGGGAGGGGAGAGAAGGGGGGAGGGAGGGAGAGAGGGAAGGGACAGGGAGATAATAAAGGGTAAACAGTAATAAGGAGCAGGTAAATAAAAGAGATGCATTAAACAGCGAGAGATAAAGCATAATCATAAAGCAGTCCGTGAGTCACGTATTTTCCGAGTCATCTTCTCGCCAGTCCTGCAAAAGCCTTGTGAAATTCGTCCTTTTTAATTCTTTGGCGGGAAAATTGAGCTTGCCAGTAGGTAATCATTCCCCATCGAGTGAGTCCCCTACTTTTGATTACATTTCTCCCCAAAGTCAGGACTAATTTCCCGTAAGATTAAGTAAAGTTCTCATGCTGGATAGATTCATCATGCACAGGGCCATGCAGTGTTTTTTCCCTATAAAATGGATATGCCCATGCAGTGTTTTTTTTCCTCTAAAATGGATACGTTTAAGAGGTTTCAAGATGGCGGCAGCATGAAAGCGCGCTCGTGCTGTCCATTCAGCTCCTTATCTAGGAAAAGTACTTGCGTTGCTGATATAGATAGTTGCGAGAGAGGGAGAGGGAAAGGGAGAGAGAGGGAGAGGGAGAGGGAGAGGGAGAGGAAAGAGGGGAGAGGGAAGAGAGAGGAGAGGGAAGAGAGGGGAGAGGAAGAGAGAGAGAGAGGAAGGAGAGGGGAGGGAGAGGGAGAGGGAGAGAGGGAGAGGGAGAGGGAGAGGGAGAGAGAGGAGAGAGAGAGAGAGAGAGAGAGAGAGAGGAGAGAGAGAGAGAGAGAGAGAGAGAGAGAGAGAGAGAGAGAGAGAGAGAGAGAGAGAGAGAGAGAGAGAAAGAGAAAGAGAAAGAGAAAGAGATAGAATGATAGATAGAGAGAGAGAGAGAAAAAAACCAGATCGGTTAGAGCACAAAACATGCGTTCTCGTGGCCATCGACGTTTGTTTACCTCCGCCAACTCCAGCTTCGTGTTAAAGGCTCTTGTGGCGGCCTTTATGATCCGGGCAATGGCAAAGAAACCTGATCCGTAACTGAAAGGGAATTATTTATTTAATTCAGGGGTGAATTATCCATTTCATTCAAAGGTGAATTATAAATTTCATTCATGGGGGATAAACTAGATATAATCGTGGAAGTAATGGATTTTGGTCATGAAAAAATGGAAGAGTAATGATGAATAATTGTTTGTGGTAGTGATGGTTGTGATAAAACAGTATGATTGATATCTAGTATAGTGATAATGATCATGATAATCCCTTATATTATAGAATCTTAATCTTACTTGGAATCTAGGATTTATTAAATATGCGTGTAATGTATATAGATCATACTGTTGAATATCAATAACAAATGATATGAACATGTTAGAATAATAAATAAAGAATTTCGAATCAACATGAAAACCAGTGATTTGAATGTTTCCAAAAATAATCAAAATAAAAGGATGGGATTAACATTACTGCAACTGAAAGCATCAAATTACCATTAGAATCAAACGACTAAAGTATCTATCTATCTATCTATATAATTATAGACATACAAAATAATATAGATATAAACACAAGATAAAACCTAATCTAAGTAAAAAAAATCAGACTTTACAGAAAAGAAAAACATTAGTATCTATCTATCTATCTATATCTATATATCTATATATATATTAGAAATACAAAATGATATAATTATAAACACAAGATAAAACCGAATCGAAATAAACAATTTAAACTTTGCAGAAAAGCAAAACAGTAGTAGCTCTTTCCTAAAAAAAAAAAAGAAAAAAAAAAAAAAAAAAAAAAAAAAAAAAAAATACATCTTATTTTTAACCCACAACATACTCACGGGATTCCGCCAAACAGCAACCCCCCCTATCTAAAACAAAAACACCCAAATATATCAAATAACAATAACATAATTAAAAAACGATTAACAAAAACACCCCAAATCATACTAATAACCAAATAAACATCTTTAAGAACCCAAACTTACTAATCGGCGATCTTCTGCCACTGGTCCCTGAGGTAGTTCCAGGCCAGGTAGCGCCCCACGTCATTCCTGGCGACGGCGGCGAAGACCTGCGACGCGTCCTGCTTCCGGATGCCGCTGCCTTCCGTGAACGCCATGTCGAGGTACCTATGGAGAGGGCGCTGGGTTAGTTTTTTTTTTTTTTTCTTTTTTAGGCGTTTTTTGTTTGTGTGTTTGTTTGTTTGTTTGTTTGTTTGTTTGTTTTGTGTGTGTGGTGTGTGTGTGTGTGTGTGTGTGTGTGTGTGTGTGTGTGTGTGTGTGTGTGTGTGTGTGTGTGTGTGTGTGTGTGTTGTTGTTGTTGTTGTTGACGTAGGAGTGCGAAGGGCTTGGTTTTTTTTCTGTTTGTTTATTGTTTGTGTTGTTTGATGTAGGGGTGCGAGGGAGGGCGCTGGGTTATTTCCTTTTTATTCATTTATTTTTTATGTTACTGCCGTAGGAATGTGACGGAGGGTGCTGGGTTATTTCTTTTTCTTTTATTTTATTAATCTGTGTTGTAATGACGAAATGACGAAACAGAAAAAAATCTCGACAAGAAATGCCAAAAAATTAGAAAAAAATCTCGACAAAAAAAAAAAACAAAAAAAAAATAAAAAATAAAAAAAAAAAAAGAAAAAAAACACGCAGCCATCCCCTGCCCGTACCTGGACAGAATCCACACTTCCTTGGTACAACCCATGGCGGACAGGAGCTTGGCCTTCTCTGTGGCGACGTTCGAGTTGATGTACTGTTCCCACGCGAAGTTCCACTCCTCCTCGCCGCCCTCAGCCACGCCCGTGCAGTAGACCGTCGACTTCAGGTTGGGGGAGATGAGGCTGCCGGAGACGAAGAAGGAGAATGAGGAGGGTAAGGAGGGTGAGGATGAGGTCGTGGTATTAGTGGCGTTGGTGGTGTTGGTTGTCGTGATATAATTATTATTATCATCAGCGTTATTATTTTTATTTTTTATTATTTATTTATTTATTATTTATTATTTATTTTATTTATTTATTTATTTATTATTTATTTATTTATTATTATTATTTATTATTATATTATCATTTATATCATTATCATTATCCTTATTATTATCATTATATATATATATATATATATATATATATATATATATATATATATATATATATATATATATTTTGGGGGGTAATGCTGCTATTTTTTGTTGTGTTCATATAGATGCTGATAGCAACATAGCAACGACAATGACGTTGATAAAGATAATAATAATGATTGTACTAAGGATACAATAAAAGGGATAATGAAAAAAAAAATGCTGATAATAAGAGCAACAGTAATTAATAAAATATATATAACAATACAATAACAATAAAAATCATAACAACAATAATCCTTAAATAAAACGCCTCATACCTGGTATTGGTAGGGTTCAGCACCCACGTATTGAAGAGAGACTGCGAATTATCCACGCAGTCTTGGTAGCCGAGGTTGCACGCCCAAGAGAGAGCCTTAACCCGCTTGTACTGGTCCAAGTGGGGGTCGTTGAGGTTGTCCTCGAAGCCCACGGAGTTGTAGAGGGGGATCAGGATGTCCAGGAGGTAGCTCTGTTGAGGGGGGGGAGAGAGGGAGAAGAAAATGGGAGATTAGGATGTTGGGGGGATGTATAGGGGGAGGGGAAGGGGGAGGAAAGGGGGGGGGAGCGAGGAGGATGGAAAGAAAGTAGGAATTGAGGGGAGAGAGGGAGAGAAGAAAGGGGAGATTAGGGATGTTGGGGATGGAGGTAGGGGTGGGGGGGAGGAAAAAAAAGGGGGGGGGAGGGAAAGGAAGGTAGGAATTGAGGGGAGGGGGAAGGGGAGATTAGGGATGTTGGGAGGATGTATAGGATATAGGAGGGGGAGGAAAGGTGGAGGGGGGGCGTGGAGGGTAAGGGGAAAGAGAGGTAGTAAAATCTCGTCTATTTGATAGCCATTAGCTCGTTATATCATTGTTGGGGTAAAAAAAATTCCATGAGAAAAAAATAATAATCAAATAATAATCAAATAACAATAATGAAACGTAGAAATAAGATGAAATATAAATAAAAAAGGAGATAAAAGTTACGTCCATGAACCAATGATTCCCAGACCTCACCTTGAGATCGCCGTAGCCACTGGACCGAGTGAACATATTTTCCAGGTAACCCAGATTGTTGAGAGCGGTGTCCCAAGGTACGTACTCCACTTCCTTGCCCAGGTAGGCATTCACGCTCAGGGCCGTGTCGTAGGATACCTGGCCTAGGTGTGGAATTAAAGCGTGACAGGACGTAAATCAAACAGGGAATTAACGTAAAATCACCCTTAATTACTGAATGGCAGTCGAGATAACCAGCTTGTTTGTTAAAATTGTGCCAGGTCAGACCCAATGAATTTTCATAAATACAGATGCAGAAATAAAGGCATATCTGTCTATATATCTGATAGATATACATTTAACCATCTATTTGCCAGGTAGATATGCATGGCCAGACTGATAAATATGCATTTATTTCTTTATTTATGCATGTCAAGTATACGAATATTCTTTGGGTGGGGCCTCGCACAATATTAACAAACCGGCCGAACAAGTCTAAGACGTAAATAAGGAAGTATACAAAATCAGATACAAGTTTGACTCAAGGAGAGACAAACCTTGATTACTGGAAGGCAGTAAAGATAACAAACGACGTAAAACTAAGGAATAACAACAGCAAAAGCAACTCGTCTCACCGGCACGCGCGAGGTTCAAAACATCGTCGATAATCTGCGCTCTGTTGATGACGTGAATCGACTCATGCTGGTCCTTGAGTTGCTGGATGATCAGGTTCCAGTTCTCGGCGTCGTAGTTGACCCTGTAATAACCCGTCTCCTGCACGTTGAAGATCACCCACTTGTCCTTCGCCGGGAGAGAGGAAATGGTGAGCTGTTGCTCCGTGTCCATCATCCACCGCTGGGGCTTCGTCGTCTCGAAGTCCGGGCTGGTCTCCGTGGTGTAGGACAGAGGGACCCACCACTTGTAGTCGTGGGTGTCCGTCGAGTTGGGGTTCTTGACGAGGAGGAAGCGTTCCTGGAGGGGGAGTGGTGGAAGAAGGGCGGGGTTACCTCTTGGAATAGTCTGCTTCGAAAATACGGGGATATACTGCCGCCATGGGCATCCTCGTTTTGAGAATAATGGGAAAGAATGCAAGATGCGTCTTTGTGGACCTCAATAGGCCTAGTAATAGTAAGAAATGACTTTAATACAGAAGAAATGAGGTTGATAAAATAGCATCGTGACGAGAAGTTACAACATTCACAAAAAAGATCAGGTCTCGAAAGTTTTCAAAAAAGCTTATCAATTACTTTTGAACAATCTCCTTGTAACAAAGCTACACCACAGTGAAACCTAACCTAGCTCTCTTTAAATATATATCACCACTCAGGGAATACATACCACCATGAGCACAAGAACACAAAATGATCCCTTAAACAAATTCAGTTCGTGTTTACATTGTTTCCCCCTTCATGACTACACACTTACTTGGGTAACCGTGGCCGAAGTGCCGTCACTGCTACGCGTCACCTTGATCACAGGGTAACCCATCTGCAGTGTCCAAGTGTCCATGATTTTCTTAACACTGATGTCTGTGGGGAGTGTGTTGTCCTCGTAGGCCGCTGTCGTCAGGTACTGCCAAAGGTCGTCCTGCTCTGCGTTCTGGTATTTCCTGAGAGGGAAGGAAAAGATGTTCAATTTTGGTTGGTTTGGGATTTTGCTTGGCTCGTCTTTTTCGGTAATTCAAGTCGTAGCTGAATAGTTTCTGGATGGAATGATATCTTTATGCGTGTTTTGTGTGTGTGTGTGTGTGTGTGTGTGTGTGTGTGTGTGTGTGTGTGTGTGTGTGTGTGTGTGTGTGTGTGTGTGTGTGTGTGTGTGTGTGTGTACACGCGATGTATTTATGATTTTCTTTGTATTTTTCTATATGTGTGTACGTGTATGTATGTGTACATGCATATAAAACATCAGAAGCCAATATCAACTCACAGGTCCGTGAGGTAATTGGAGAGGCCCTTCCTGAAGGTGGCCTCCGTCAAGAAGTGGTTCATCATGCGGATAATCGAAGCACCTGCGAAGGGAAGGAGAATGATCTGTTTCTTAATTGCTTCTTACTGTTTCTCTTTCCTATTACGTTTTTATTCATAGCTGTATCTATATAACTATCTATATCTACATTATATCCATATCTACATTTGTCTACCTATCCATCTCTTTGTATATTTACGTACCACCCATCCATCTATCTAGTTAAAGTATCTATCTATCGATCTATCTATCGGTATAATCCTCTCTCCTCCTCTCTAAAAAAAAAAAAAAAAAAAAAAAAAAAAAAAAAAAAAAAAAAAAACTGATATGCTCTCATAGGACGCCTTACCCTTAGCGTAGGAGATACGATCGAAAATCTCGTTGATCTCGTCCGGGTGGCCGACAGGGATGCTGATAGGATGCGAGGATTCCAGGCAGTCGATGGCGAAGACGTCGTGGAGGTCATCGGGGACGAACTGCTCCATCATCTTCCAGGAGGGCTCGGACTGAGGATTCGAAGGAGGATGGCGTGAGTTGTAGGGATGTCGGGGGAAGGTCGAAGGAGGGAGTTCAAGTGTTTTAGGAGTATAGGGGCTGGGTTAGGGTCTCTGGGATTCTACATAGGTAATGTGTCTGTCTCTCTGTTTCTTTCTTTTTTTCTTCTTCTCTTTTTTTCTCTTCTCTCTCTTCTCTCTCTCTCTCTCTCTCTCTTCTCTCTCTCTCTCTCTCTCTCTCTCTCTCTCCTCTCCTCTCTCTCTCTCTCTCTATCTGTCTCTGTCTGTCTGTTTCTCTCTCTCTCTTACATTTATATGCCTGGGTGTCTATCCCTCACTTAACAGACCCCCAAACACACACCTCCATTCAACACCGATACCCGCATACCACACACACAACCACGCCAAATACCAACTTACATGATCAACACCCAGGTACTCCATGAAGGACGCGAAGCCCTCGTTGAGCCAGAGGTCCGTCCACCACTCGGGCGTGACCAAATTGCCGAACCACTGATGGGCGAGTTCGTGCGCAACTACCACTACCACCCGCTGCTTGTTAGACGCGGCGGAGACTGCGGGGTCGTACAACATGGCCGTTTCTCTGGGGGACGAGGAGGGAGGAGGTGAATGAAGGTGGAAGTGAGGGGAATAGTGATGAATGGATAGGGAAGAGGAGGTCGTGAAGCATGGGTCGTTATACCGGAGGACGGTGAAGGTGGAGGTGAAAAAAGAGGAAAAATGAGGGGAATAGTATTTGCGAATTTGTGATAAATGTATTGGCGAAAGGGGGTCGTACAGCATGGCGTTTTCTGGAGGACGAGGAGATAGGAGTGAATAAGGGGAAAGTGAGGGGCGAGGTCGTAAACATGGGTCGTGAATTGGAGGTGAATAAAGGGGAAAGTGAGGGGAGTGGTATTGTGAATTTGTGATAAATGATTAGAGAGGAGGTCGTAAAGCATGGGTCGTTATACTGGAGGATGAGGAGAATTGGAGATAAAGAAGAGGAAAGTGAGGGAAGAGATTTTTGTGAATTTGATACATGAGAGGGAGACATGAGGTCGTACAGGACGCCCCTTTCTCTAGAAGATGAGGAGAGTTGAGGATTAAAAGGGAAAAGTGTAGGGAATGATATTTATGAATTTATGATAAAAAAAAAATGAGTCGTAAAGGATGATTATTCTGGAGAACGAAGAGAGATTGGAAATAAAAAAAAGAGATAGCGAGAGAATTTATATTTGTGAATTTGTGATAAGAGATTGGAGAGATAAAAAGGTCATAAAGAATGAATCGTTATTCTGGAGAAAATAGATTGTTGGGGATGATAAAGTGAAAGTGAGGTGAAGGATCTTCGTGAATTGGTGATAGAGGACGGGGAAAGTTGGAGATAAAAAGGGGGAAAGAGAGAGAAATGATGTTTGTTATAAATGAAATGGCGAGATGAAGCCTTGAGGTCGTCGATTTGTGAGGAAGAGGAAGATGAGGTGGAGGTCGAGTTTTTTTTTCATATATTAACATATATTTAGCCTGGAAAAACTGGTTTTAATCATTTAGTAAATTAAAAATTAAAGTAAAGATATGATTATGTATCTTGCTAGTGTCAACCTTTAAGTGACGAAACCCCAAAAAGAAAAGAAAAAAAACGCCCTACGAAATAAAGAGATAGATATACATATATATATATATATATATATACATATATATATATATATATATAGATATATATATATATATAATATTATATATATATATATATATATATATATATATATATATATATATATATATATATATATAGAGAGAGAGAGAGAGAGAGAGAGAGAGAGAGAGAGAGAGAAGAGAGAGAGAGAGAGAGAGAGAGAGAGAGAGAGAGAGAGAGAGGAGAGAGAGAGAGAGAGAGAGAGAGAGAGAGAGAGAGAGAGAGAGAGAGAGAGAGAGAGAGAGAGAGAGTTAAGACAAATTTCAGCAAGTGCCAACTTGTAAGTGATGAGAATGAAAAAAAGAGAGAGAGAGAGAGAGATAGATAGATAGATAGATAGATATGTATATATATATATATAAGAGAGAGAGAGAGAGAGAGAGAGAGAGAGAGAGAGAGAGAGAGAGAGAGAGAGGAGAGAGAGAGAAGAGAGATAGAAGAAGAGAGAGAGAGAGAGAGAGAGAGAGAGAGAGAGAGAGAGAGAGAGAGAGCGAGAGCGAGAGCGAGCGAGAGAGCGATACAGACAGACCAGACACAGAAACACACAGACAAACAAACAGAAACGTAACAAAGAAACTCGAAACCCCGACCATCCCCTACGAAACTCCTAGCCGCTGCCAACCTGTAGGTGATGAGGCCCCAGTTCTCCATGGCTCCCGCCGAGAAGTCCGGGATGGCGATCATGTCCTGCTTGGGAAGTGGGAAAGGCACGTTGAAGTAGCCCTCGAAGAAGGTCAGGATGTCAGGTCCTGTTGTCAGCGCGTAGTTGGCCTGCTCGATGGCTGCCTTGCGGGCCCACACTGCCAACGGGGAGGGAATAAAGTCACGGGGGGGAGGGTGTTTTGACTTTTATATTTGCTTTGATTGTGTGTGTGTTTTTTTTGCTTTGATTTTTCTTTTTGCTTTTTTTTTTTTCTTTTTTGCTTTGATTTTGATTTTTGCTTTGACTGTGTGTGTTTTTTTTGCTTTGATTTTGATTTTTGCTTTAACTTTTTTTTTTGTTTTGCTTTGATTTAATCGTTTGTGAGCGATGGTGATAGATGAGAGGTCAGTCTTAAATGCGGGAAATTATTCGAGGTTGGGGAGAGATGTTGAAAAAAACACCATAAAGCTTTATTTCTAGATTGCCGTGCACTGATTAATTCGATATATTCTAATTCGATCTTCCCTTTTTTTCGAAAACCGAGATAAGAAAATGACATTTTTCTTTTCTAAACACTTACCATGTAGTAGTTTGATATGCTCTAATCTAACCTTCCTTTTCCGAAGACGAAACAAAGCAATGATATATTTATTTTCCAGAAGCTTATCATTCGGTAATTAATTTATACTCTAACTTCACCTCCTTCCGAAAACGAGATACGAAATCAGGTAGATAGAGAGAGAAGAGAGATAGAGAGAGCGAGAGAGCGTGCGAGCGAGCGAGCGAGAGAGAGAGAGAGAGAGAGAGAGAGAGAGAGAGAGAGAGAGAGAGAAGAGAGAGAGAGAGAGAGAGAGAGAGAGAGAGAGAGAGAGAGAAAGAGAAAGAGAAAGAGAGAGAAAGAGAGAGAGAGAGAGCGAGAGGGAGAGGGAGAGGGGAGAGAGAGAGAGAGAGAGAGAGAGAGAGAGAGAGAGAGAGAGAGAGAGAGAGAGAGAGAGCGAGACAGAGAAAGATACATATATGTATATCCTAACCTCTGAACATGCAAAAAACTGATTAGATACACCTTAATTCACCCTTCCTTTCCTAATACGAGACACGACACTGACATCTCTCTTTTTCCACAACCTGTAATGATCACTTGGCTATATACCACTTACCTCTGAACAAGACGTGGTCATTGGCGGTGGAGTTCATGTGGGAGAAATCCGAGATGACGAAGGCAACCAAGTAAGTGGACATGGGGACGCTTGTGTTAAAGTGGTCCCACACCCATCCTGGCTGTCCCTCTCTGTGGAAAAGAAGTGGGTCTATAACGAAAAGTGTTCAGTTGTGAAAATGAAACTAGCCACAGTGAGAAATGATCACCCGTTTTCAGTTCTCATTGTGGCTAGTTTCATTTTTTTTCGTTTTTGTGTACGCGTTATTGTGTTTGTGGTTGTGTTCTGTTGTGTTATCGGGTTGTGGTGTTGATGTTCGGTTTGGAGGAATGGTTGTTATTGTTCCATGTCTTGGTTAGGTTGTTCTTGTTCCTGTGTTAGGGGTTTTGTTCTCTGTTATTCAAGTGCAATCAGTCGGAGTTTTGGAAGGAAATAAGTGCTGATATTCTTATGAATTTTGGAATACAACTTAGCGAGGTCATTTAAAAGCAGTTATCTTTTCATTGATTTTGAACCGATGAATATTACCCTAAAACGCGATAAAAAAAAGTAATATAGATCCTTCAAAACAAAATTATATAAAAAAAGAAAAAACAAATATTATGTAGAGAAAAAAACAAAACAAAAACAGTTTTTTCTTTACAGAATATTATTTTTTTTCTTATTTTTAAATCATTTTCACACAAAAATCATACATTCGAAAAAAATATAAAAATATTTCAACTTGGTGGAAAACAACAATAACACACACACAAAAAACATACATCCAAAAAAATATAAACATATTCCTTGAGGAAAAGCAACAATAATACAAAAAAAAAAAAAAAAAACATACATCCGAAAAAAATACATTCCACCAAAAACAAACTAAAACCCCCCAAACCGCACTCACATGGGGATGGATTCAAACTTGGGCATGTTCGAAATGGACGACATGCCCTCCTCCCTGCCCAGGTACACCTCGAAAGTCGCCTTCATCCCGGGCTCGTCGAAGCAAGGGAAAGCTCTGCGGGCGTCCGTGGGCTGGAACTGGGTCGAGGCGATCAACCTGCGGGCGTGAAGTGGGCGTGGGGTCATCTTGGATAGTATTAGACGGGGGTTTGTTGTGGTCTGCTCGTGTGATAATTCTGACATTCGTGTATCTAGCTGTTTGTGTGAGTGTCTATTTAGCTATCTGTCTGTCTGTCTATTTGTCTATCTATCTATCTATCTATCTATCTATCTATCCATCTATCCATTCATCTCTCTATTAAGACGTAAGTACAAAAGAAAGAAAAGAGTCTTAAATGATAACAAAGAGAGTACCACACTGGAAATAATAACAATAACAATGATGATAAAGATAACAACGACCATACCCAACATACATGAATAAATAACAATACTTTATCTCAATATAATTAGGGATTCTCCTCTCTTTTGTCCGTTTATGTTTTATGCATCATGTTCTCTGTACTTTCTCTTTACTTTCTCTTTTATTGGTTCACTTTGTGATACTTCTGCAGAGTTTACTAGCTCTGTAAACTGTTTATAAGCTAAATTATATATGTATATATCCATGTAATATGTACTACGACCAATACCTATATAATATGTAATATATATCTAATGCTTATATAAAACGTTCTACATATAGTCATTCTTAAGATACTGCATAAATACTAAATACAATTTATACAAGGGGTCTTTCTAAGAGAATTGTATTTCAGCCATGTATCAATATGCGTATTTTCTACTTCAATAATATTAATGTTTTATGACTAAATGAATGTTTTGATTCTGATTCTGATTCTCTCTCTCTTTCTCTCTTTCTCTCTCTCTCTCTCTCTCTCTCTCTCTCTCTCTCTCTCTCTCTCTCTCTCTCTCTCTCTCTCTCTCTCTCTCTCTCTCTCTCTCTCTCCTCTCCTCCTCTCTCTCTCTCTCTTCTCTCTCTCTCTCTCTCTCTCTCTCTCTCTCTCTCTCTCTCTCTCTCTCTCTCTCTCTCTCTCATCTCTCTCTCTCTCTCTCTCTCTCTCTCTCTCTCTCTTCTCCCTCCTCCCTCCCTATCTATTCTGACGAATATTTTCACAGCATTCACAGCAAACAGTTCCACCCACCTGTCGCTCCGTCCTCGCCTTGTAAGTCGACTGTAGAAGCCGTGGAGCTGGTCGTTGAGGTACCCTTCGAAGTCCATCGACAAGACGTATTTCTTCCCGACCTCGAGTTCTTCTCCGAGTTCGGCGACGTAGAACTGTCTCTCGTTGTCATAGCTGTGTTTGTTGATGCCGATGCCAGGCCCTTGGACTTGGTCGGATGGGGCGAGCTGTGGGGGGTTGATGTTGGGAGTGATGGGACGCTCATATCATGGTGGTTGTGATGGGTGATGTTGTAGTGATGGGACTGCTCATATTGTGGTGGTTGTGATGGGGTGATGTTGGTAGTGATGGATCATATTATGGTGGTTGTGATGACGTGATGTGGTAGTGATGGGACTCATATTATGGTGGTTTGTGATGGGGTGATGTTGGTAGTGATGGGCTCTCATATATGGTGGTTTGTGATGACGTGATGTTGTATGATGGCTCATATTATGGTGGTTGTGATGACGTGATGTTGGTAGTGATGGTACTCTCATATTATGGTAGAAGTGATGACGTAATTTTGATAGTGATATGCTCATATTATGGTGGTAGTGATGACATGATGGTGGTAGTGATGAGGTGATGCGGATAGTGATGAAGGGATGTTGATGGTGATGGTACTCATATTTTATGGTCGTTGTGGAGTATGGTGGTAGTGATGACGTGATGGGGTTGTTGATGATGGTGAGACTGATGATATTACTGCTGTTATAAATAATGGTGATAATGAAGATGATGGTTATAATGGGGATGGTGATTATGGCTATGGTGATAATGATGGTGATGTTTATAGTGAGGAAATAATGCTGTTATTAATAATGGTGATAATGCTAGCGGCTGTGATGTGATGGTTGTGATAATGGTAGTAATAAGGGTAATGATAATGATAATAATAATAATAAGTCACAAGAGGATTTGACAGGATCATGTTATTTTAAGAGATCAAAATATGTATCTACCCTATATTCATGGCACCATATATAGTAACTGATCAAGCTGTTACATCTTTTAAAAATTGAAAAAAATCCCCTGCATACTAACTAAATTAATTCATATAATTCATTTGACAACTATTAAAAAAGTACACCTATACATTAAGATCCACAATTATACATGAAGATCCATCATAATTTCAAAACTCATTTATGCAGTTAATAATGTCAAGACAAAGCAACACATAACCCCCCACCTTTTTTTTGACCCTGACCCATAGCTCCTCCCCCCCCCTTTTATTACCCTGACCATAGCTCCCCCTCCCCCCCTTTTTTCATTACCCCTGACCCATAGCTCCCCCCCCCCCCTCCCCTCCCCTTTTTTTACCCTGACCCATAGCCCCCCCCCAAAAAAAAAAAAAAAAAAAAAACACTTACCTTTATCGTCTCATTCTTGGTCACAATGTCAGCGATGTGGAGGGTGACATTCGACGTCGCCTCCAGCACCTCGACCTCGACCTCGACGTAACCCAGGATGCTGAAGTTCCCGTTGATGAGAGGCTGGAGTTTGACCTTGTAGTGCAAGGGTTTCACGGATCGCGGAAGCCTCACGTCGATTTTGGGTTTGACCTCTGACGCTGGGGTCATGGGGGTGGTAGGGACCATGGGGCGTTCCGTGGCTAGCTGTGGGCGGGGAGAGAATTTTAGAGTTTTTTTCTTTCTTTCTTTCTTTCTTTCGTTATTTATTTGTTTACTTTCTTTTTTCTTTTTTCTTTCTTCTCTCTTTCTTTCTTTTTTTTCTTTTTCTTTTTCTTTCTTCTTTCTTCTCTTTCTTTTCTTTCTTTCTTTCTTCTCTTTCTTTTCTTTCTTTTTTCTTTCTTCTTTCTTTTTTTCTTTCTTTCTTTTTCTTTTTTTAAGGGTGAGCTTGGCCTTGCAAGTGCAGGTTCATTAGAGGTTAGAATTAGGTAATCTCAAGAGATAATTATAGAGGAGTTGATTACATGCAAATTAGATTTGAATTATACCAAAAATTGGGGTAATTAAGTGTAATTTAAGTTATACCGCTAGAGTGAAAATAATTGTAATAAAATAATTGGGAAGGTAATAAAAAGTATGATGACACAGCAATAATTTTCATTCACATACCGACGAGTCTAAATTCCCGTTAATTATCATATTAATTGTTTTACTTAATTTCGCTTTGATGTTTAGAAAAGTCTGTGTTGATGAATGTGAATGAATGAGCGAAGGGGTGATCTTCCCCACTCCTCTCTCTCTCTCTCTCTCTCTCTCTCTCTCTCTCTCTCTTCTCTCTCTCTCTCTCTCTCTCTCTCTCTCTCTCTCTCTCTCTCTCTCCTCTCTCTCTCTCCTTCTCTCTCTCTTTCTCTTTCTCTTCTCTCTCTCTCTACTTTCACTCTTCGATTCATTCTCCCTCGGTCTCTCTCTCTCTCTCCGTCTCGCTGTCTCTTCTTTCTCGTCTTGCGCTCCTCTTATTTCCTTCTAGTGTTCTCTTCCTCTCTCTCCACTTCTTCTCTTGCTACGCACCATCCTCTCTCTCTCTCGTGCTCTCTCACTCGTCTTCTCTCCTCACTCTCTCTCATCTCTCTCCGTCTCCTCAGTCTCTTCCTATCTATCTCCCCGCGCTCCTGCTCTCTCTCCTCTTCTCCTCCTCTCCTTCATTCTCTCTGTCCATCCTGCGGCTCGCTCTCCATCGTCTATGATGGCTCTCATTCTGTCTCGCTCGCCCGTTGCTGATGGCCCTCTGTCATCTCTCCCCTCTGCTCTACACCTCCTCCTTTCCCTCGTTGTCACATATCTCTTTTCTTTCTCTTTCTCCATCTCTCTCATTCTCTCTCTCGCTCTCTCTTCTCCCTCTCTCTCTCCTGGTTTCTCTCTCCGCGTCTCTCTCTCTTCTCGCTCTTGTCTCTGTCTGTCTCTTCCTCTCGCTCTTCTCCCCATCCCTCCTCCGTCTCTCTCGGTCCACTCGGGCCTCCTATCTCGTTATCCATCCTCGTCGCAATGCTCTCTTCGCCTCTGTCTATCCTCTCTTTTCCTGCATCTCCTTTTCCGCTCTGTCTCTCTCCTCTTCTTCCTGCAGTCCTTTCTCGAGCAGCTCCCTCTCCGTCAGTCCCTCTCCTGCGATCTCCAGCGCTCGGCCGATCCGGCTTCTCATCATGCTCCGCTATCTCCTCGCGGGCAGTTCACACTCTCTCATCTCCTCTCCTCTCTATGCTTCTCGCTCCCTCATCGCTGCCTTTCGACTCCTGCCCTTCTTCCGTCTCGTCCTCTCCCTCTCGACTCTCTTTGTTCTGATCTCTCGGTCTGTCGCCTCTGACTGGCCGGCTCGACCTCACACTTGTCGTCTCAGTCTAATTTCTTTTTTCGCTTCTTCTTTCTCCTTTCAATCTGCTCTCCATTCGTGCGTACCCGTCGTGTAGTGCACTGCCGGATTCGATTCGGCTCATTCTCGCGATCCATTACCTCTATACTTCTATTCTTCTCTCTAATACTTCATTGTCATTCTGCCGCGCGATCTTGCTCGCCCCTGCCGCTCTCCTCTCTGCATCATCATCACATTCATGGCAGTCTATCGCTCATCATACTCATCAATCATCATGCATCATTCTTCTTATTCTCATACTCCGTCTCTGGTCTCTTCTCTTTCCTCCTTGTCACCGACGTCTCCCCATCTCTACCTCCCCCCCATCCTCTCGCCCTGAGTGAAGTACGTTTTTCAGCCCCGCTCTCCTCTCACCTTCACTGTCTCCCCCCCTGCCTTCCTCATCTCTCCCCTCTCCTACCCTTGCCCGCCCCCTCTCCCTTCCTCCATCCGGCCTCTAATCTCTCTTATCGGTTTAGCAAAATTAAGGCGAGATAAGAAGGACAAGAACATCCTCGTTATCTCTCCCGATTTCAAGAGGTTCCTTTTGCCAGGCGGACGCAAGATTAGGATTAGGATAAGATAACTTTGATGGATTAGGACGGATTCGGGAGCCTAGTCTGACGTGGAGACTGTAAGGATTTGGCTATAATAATAGTAGTGATGATAGCAATTAATGGTAACGAATATGGTGATACTAATGAGAATGGTATTGATTAAAAAGATCATGAAATCAATGATAATGATATCAATAATAATGGTAATGATAATGATGAAGAAAAAAATCATAAAAAGTAAAAGAAAGAGGGATGAGAAAACATAAAAAAAACAAGAAAAGAAAATAATTTTCACACAAAAAGCAAAAGAAAGATGAAAAAAAGAAAAAAAAAAATCCGATCACCGACCTGACTTTTATGGATTTTATCAACAAACCTCTAATCAGCTGATCAGTCATTTACCGAAGGAACCGTTTAATCACACGCCTACTAAACGAGGTCCTTAGGTCCCTTTGGCATAGATAAGGTCTGAAGTGCGGTGTCCATTTCCGCTTATGCGAATCAGGGTCATAAAGAGAGGTCACGCTTTGGGGGCGTAGGGGAGGGGAGGGGAGGGGAGGGGGTAGGGGGAGGGGGGAGATAAGGACCCCCGTGTATCTCCGTTTGAGGAGGATTTTATCTCTGTGTGATAAGCTTGTCCGTCAGATGATGATGGTTTATTGTTGCCCATGTGGCAGATGTTTGGATCCTTACATGTATGCACAGGTGCGTACATACAAACAAAATACATACACACACGAACACACACCACAACCACACACAACAGCGACAAACAAATACATTAGAATATAGACACACATGTATGTAATATATATGTATATATATATATTATATATATGATATATAGCATATATATATATTATGTATATATATATATATGTATATATATATAATATGTATATATATGTATATATATATTTATATATTTATTAATATATATATATATATATATATATATATATATGGCGTGGTGTGTGTGTGTGTGTGTGTTGTGTGTGTGTGGTGGTGTGTGTGTGTGTGGTGTGTGTGTGTGTGTGTGTGTGTGTTGTGTGTGGGTGTGGTGTGGTGTGTGGTGTGTGTGTAAATATGTGTAATATATCATTACACATAATATCATACATACATATTATATACATATATATATATATATATATATAATATATATTATATATATATATATATATATATAATATATATATATATTAACTCATCACACAGACACACCACACACACATCACATATATATATCATATATATTAATATATATAATATATATAATATATAATATTAATATATATATATATATAATGTATATATGTATGTAGTATGTTATGTATGTATGTATGTATGTATGTATGTATGTACTGTATGTATGTATGTATGTATATATATATACACACACATATGAACACACACATCTATATATATATATATATAATTATATGAGTATATATATATATATATATATATGTACATTTATGTATATTCATATATGCATATATATGTGTGTATGTGTGTGCGTGTGTATCCCTATGATTTTAATGATATTGATGATAATAATAATATATAATTGGATATATGCATACATGTTTGCATGTATATGTGTGTGATTCTATGCGTGCATTCCTATGTGTATATATCTGAATATATATACATATTTGTACATACATACACACCGATATATATGTTTGTAAATATGTATGATTCTATGTGTGTATGTACATATGTGTTGTTTTTTATGTGTTATGCTTATATGTGTGATTTTCATGCTTTGTGTGTATGTATATGAGTGATTTTTATGTGTATATGTATATATGTGTTTATGTGTATATGTATGTGTATGGTGTATATGTGTTTATGTGTGTATGTATTTCATGTGTATATGTATATATATGTGTGATTTATGTATTTCATGTTTATATGTATACATGTGTGATTTAAATGTGTATGACTTTATGTGTGATCTTACGTGTGTGTGTATGTATACGAGTGATTTTTTGTGTTTGTATGCATATTTTATGTAAACAGATTTTATGTAAAGACATGAATAGACGGATATATCAGTCTCCGACATATCCCTTCAGCAACGAAGACCTCCCGCCCTCGAAGACAACCTGAAAAAAAAGAGAAAAACGAGATGCATCCGTCCACGCCGCGCTCACCGAGGTTCTGGCGAGGTTGAGAGGGTCTCCCGCCTCTCTGACCTGCGGCGCGTAGTAATACACGAGAAGCCCCGTGGCCACTGTGGCGCTGACGAACAAGAGCCCCAGGATCACGGCCACGCTCCTGTTCACGTAGCAGCCGTTCCTCTTGCCGAAGGACACGGAGGCTGCGGACTGGTTCATCTCCATGGCCAAAGTCTCTCTGCTAGAGCCCGTCATGGCGGGGCGGCGGTACTAGGTTCTTTGGCGGAGGGAAGGGGGTTGGGGGGTTCTTGGTCTGGCTCGCTGGAGGTCT